CCCCCCCCTCCACTTCCTAACGGTCCGCACGCGCGGTGCTCTCCCCGCCCCCCACCCGCTTCCATCCCGTCATCAGTCAGCCAACCGCCAACCCCGCCCCCTCACGCGGTGCCCGTCGGGAGCTGTAGTCGCGGCGTCACGCGATCCCCCGGGGTTTGGGGTGAGTGGGCACTACAACACCCAGCGGGCCGCGCGCGACACGCCGGTCGGCGCGCAGGCGCAGCGGCTCCCCTCCCTCTCCCTGTCTGTCAGTCAGTCAGGCGGACGGCGTGGAGCGGCTCGGACTCGGCCGCTGGTTTGATTTTTTTTTGTGTGGCTTCTTCGCTGAGACCCCGCGCGCTCACCATGACGGTGAGTTTATTGGTGTTAACTCGACAACAGGAGCGTTTCCTCCCGACCCTCGTGTGGGTCTGTCTATGTCTGTCTTGTGTGTAGCTGTGTGTGTAGGTGTCTATCTGTCTGGGGGTGTGTGTCTGTCTATGTCTCTATGTGTGTGGGTGTCTGTGGGTATGTGTTGTGTGTGTGTGTCTGTGGATGTATGTCTGTCTGTCTGTGGGTGGGTATCTGTCTGTGTGTGTGTCTGTCAGTGTGTCTGTCTGTGGGTGTGTGTCTGTCTGTGGGTGTGTGTCTGTCTGTGTGTGGGTGTGTGTCTGTCTGTGGGTGTGTGCCTGTCTGTCTGTCTGTGTGGGTGTGTGTCTGTCTGTGGGTGTGTCTGTGGGTGTGTGTCTGTGTGTGTAGTGTGTCTGCGTATCTGTGTGTGTGTGTGTGTGTGGTGTGTGTCTGTGTGTGTGTCTGTCTGTGTATGTGTGTGGGTGTGTGTCTGTGTGTGTCTGTCTGTGGGTGTGTGTGTGTGCCTGTCAGTGTGTCTGTCTGTGTGGGTGTGTGTCTGTCAGTGTGGAGGCCCTATCGCGTGAGGAGGTGCAGCAGTGGGTGACAGGTGTCACTGAATAATAACAATAATAATAATAATCCTTGCATCTGACACGGCTCCGGCAGGTCAGGGCGAAACCTCGGGCAGGTTTCCTTACTCCCCGCACCTGATAATAATAATAATAACCCCTCAAGGAAAAAAAACCCCAATAATAACATTGGTCACTTCAATCCACGGACTGTTTGCGGGGACGCTGCTGCGGCGCAGTCGGCTGCCGAGTTTCGCCCACAAAATGTACAGCCGGTTCACTTTACAGTGTATCGTGAAGCGCTTTGAGACGTCATCAGGGATTTCTTCGCGCACACACACACACACACACACACGCACACATCAGCCCTTCGTGAAAGTCTCCGGTCCAGTTCCTGAGCCAGGCGGGTCTGCAGTAACCCAGGCCACTGCTGACCGCAGCATGGCCCAGCTTGGCTCGTTGGCGGGTCTCGGGAAGAGCAGACCGGTCACCGGGGGGGCCGGGGAGTCATTCCCACTCAGCTCCCGTTATCCCTGCAAGCCAAAGCTCTCTAACGGAAAGGGCCGGACAAGCAGCGGGAAAGCTTGCCAGACAGCGATATCAACGGCAAGCCACGCGGTCCTGGCTGGTTAGACTCCCGGCAGTACCCCCCCCCCACCACCCCCTCCTCCCCCAGTGCACGCTCTGGAATTGCTGAACTGTGCGTTAAGTTACGGGGAATCAGTTGGGTGTTTAAAAACTACGCTGCTTTTGTTCCCGTTTCTTTAGGAACGAAAGGGAACTGCCAAGGTCGATTATCTGAAGGGAATCGAAAAAGACATTCAGCAAAAATGGGAAAAAGAGAAGGTCTTTAATATAAATGCCGTTGAGCCCGGGAGTGCAGAGAGCAGGTAAATGGCCTCGATTTAAACACCATTTTTCCCATTGAAAAAGAGGCCAGTTTTAAAATTTACTAACAGGATTGTCTCCAGCAGAGGGCAATTGGGAGTACTCAGATGTACCAACTCTTCCACTGTGCTAACCGCCCTCTCCTCCTCCCCTGCTCAGTATCCGTCACTCTCTCTGTAAAGCACTCCGAAGGTTACTCTGCAGGAGGGTGCTATATAAATGCAAGTTGTTGTTCCTGTCATGACATCTGTCCCTAATTCCCCAGTCATTGTGAAACGCAGCTTAAAATAAAGTTAATTTATCTTGATTCAGACCTGCTGCAAGTTTAGCTTGGCAATCTTCTGAATCTTGGTGCTGTGAATTGTGAAATGTTGTAAGCTTTGAGGTGGTGAGCATTGGGCTACAAATATGCATTGCCTGCTGGTTATTAGACTCTGTGGTTATTGTGTTCACGGTGGGAAGGTATTATAAAATCTAGGCAAGTTATTTACCCTAATTTTCTTTTGCAGAAAGCCAAAATACTTTGTAACATTCCCCTATCCGTACATGAATGGGCGCCTTCATCTGGGACACACTTTCTCCTTGTCCAAATGTGAGGTAATGATTCTTTTTTTCTTTTAAAGTTGCTCCTCCAGGACAAGGAGATTATATATTGTGACAAGTTTGAATTCCATATTGAATGGTATTTTCCCAATACACGTTCTGCTTAAAAAGAATAGTTCGATGAAACATTTTTCGTTGTTGTTTAAGAGGACCTTAAGTTATAAACCATCTAAACTCTTTAACTAGATTAAAAACATGCAAGTTACTGCTCAGTATATCTTATCCTTTTTTTTCTTTGCCAGTTTGCTGTAGGATATCAGCGTTTAAAGGGAAAGAGGTGTCTGTTTCCTTTTGGATTGCATTGTACTGGGATGCCCATCAAGGTTTGTGTTGTTTGAAAGGAGTTATTTGTTTTTTTTTCTTGTTGGTTAGCTTGAATGTCATGTCAGGTGAGATTAGATTGCTCTGCACTGACTGGGAATGGAATGGACCTTGGAGTCTTTCTTGAATTGTACAACACCACATGGTGTGTTTCCCCATGGACCATATACAAAATGTTTGTCTGTCTGATGTGTATACAGTTTCCCTTTCATAACTGAGCTAGAGATTGATGGCTGCCAGGCTTCCACTTACAGATGTCACATCTGAGATTTGAAACTCACTGCATGGGAGGCATTGGTTCGACTGCAATTTAAGAGAGCTTTTTGAGTTTTAAGAGACTGCTGTGCAGCATCTGGGTGTTTGTGGGACATCTCTGTGTGCAGGTTGGCTGCTGCATATGCCCACAAAATGCACAGTCACCTCACTTTACAGTAAAATCTCAGTGAAACACTTTGAGGCATCCTCTTGCTGATGTGAAATACATCATGTTAAATCCAAAGATTATTAGCATCCAACAGTTGAATATAAGTGTATAAAATAACTGATTGACTGTCGTGACCCATTTCTACAGCAATCTCTTACTCTCTTCCTACTTTGAAGCTTCACACATTAATTGGAGATTGTCTATATATAAGAGAAACATTGAAGTGCCTTTTTTCTTAAAGTAAAGTTCTACTCTCCATTCATGGGAAGCGATTGGCTAATACTAAGTAAGCCCTTTGATAGCTAATGCATTCAGGAAACGACAGACTTAAGAGATCTCCTGTTCTGTTTTGTGATTGAAACCTGTTCAGGCGTGCGCAGACAAACTCAAGCGGGAGCTGGAGGTATACGGGAACCCACCTCAGTTCCCGGAGGAAGAGGAAGAAGAAGCTCCTGGGAATAAACTAGAAGAGATAATCATCAAGGACAAGGCAAAGGGCAAAAAGGTAGAAAATGTTCTGAGCGCACACTTCTTTATTTAACTTTCAACTACTCTTCAAAAAATATGGGTCCTTGATTAAGATCGGACTTTCTGCTTGCAACCCTTCAATGTTATTGCGAATATAATGTTTCTCGCTCCTTTAGAGATGCCACGCGGTGATGATAATACGCTACAATGACTGAGCCATTGTGGGACACTGCTATGCGCAATTGGCTGCCGCTTCGCCCACAACATTAACAATCGATTCACTTTACAGTATAAATGGCGAAGCACTTTCAGACGACTAAAATGTGATAAGGCGCTATATCAAATGCAAGGATTATTTATTTTTATCGTTCATTGACATGAGTGGAATAATTCATTGAGAACGAAAAGGGAGAATTGCCTACCAGAATTTGCAATATTTCCCATTCACGATTCAGGTCACAATTGTTCACGGGTTTTGTTTCCCTTTACCCATTGTGCAGAGTAAAGCAGCTGCCAAGACCGGCCGAGCCAAGTTCCAGTGGGACATCATGAAGTCCCTGGGTCTGTCTGACGTGGAGATTGTGGAGTTTGCAGAGGCTGAACACTGGCTTAACTACTTCCCACCCCTGGCAATTAAGGACCTGAAGAGTATCGGATTAAAGGTGTGTTTCAGAAACCTTACAAATAACATTAACGTTTGTTGGGTTATTTTGAAATGAATCTAAAGAGAAAATGAGCCAATCAGGAGGGCCTCAGTTTTTCGCACGTTGAGCTGAAGAAAGTTGTCTCTCGTCCAGGACTCGATGTCGGACAGACAGCTGTCAGGACATCGGTGGTCGTGGAGTTGAGAGTAGAGGAGGAAAGGTAGAGTTGGGTGTCATCCGCATACATGTGGGAGTTAACCCCGTGTCTGCGGATGATGTCACCAAGATACAGAGAATGAGAGATACACACACAGTGATATAATAATAATCCTTGCATTTGATATAGCGCTGTTCACATCTTCTAGATGTCTCAAAGGGCTTCACAGAATATACTGTAAAGTGAATTGACTGTATATTTGTGGGCGAAATGCGGCAGCCAAATGCGCACAGCAATGTCCCACAAAGAGTCGTGGATTGAAGCGACCAATTTTGTAATTTTTTTTATTATATACTCACAGAGAGAGACATACACACAGTGATAGATACACAGAGATACACGTAGAGTGATGCAGAGAGACAAACACACACTGACACAGAGGGATACACAGAGAAAAATAGACACACACAGATGGAGACAAATAGAGACACACAGAGCGAGATCCAGAGATGCAAGCGCACACATTGACAGATACAGAAACTCACACACACACAAAGTCACATAAAGAGAGAGACGGAGTGAGAGAGAAAGAGGGGTAAACACACACACACACACAGACTTGAGACTGCACACTGATACCCACAGAACCTGTGAAAAAAAATGCAGAGACAGGTGAAACATACATGGTGAGACACGCACACACACACACTGAGACACAGAGACAGACAGACACGCACATGGACGAAGAGCTACATATGGGGTGGATGGAGAGATGGGGAGCACCTGTACATTGAGGGGAAGACTGGGGTTGGGGGGGAGGGTGAGGTGTCTGGAAAGGGAAGTACCGTGGAAGAGGAAACAGCTAAGACTGGTGGTTAGATATGGATAGGAACAGATAAACAGGTATAGGTAATGAGGTTTCAGATCGTCATTCCGAAAATCATACAGGGGTTGCGGAGAACGAATGTAACAGACTCTTAAAGTACATCCTTATTGGCAGCACATGGGACATTATAGATTTAGATACCATCGTAATTCAAAATGGATGTGAACTTGTTTTAGCTGATTTCTCCCTTGCCGCGCATGACAATCATGTTGTTGAAGCTCTGTCATCGTTTGGAGTAAAGCTGTGTGTCATTTTGTTCGCCCGCCTGACATCTATCTCTGTGTTCTTGTTACAGGGGGTCGGTCCTCAGGAGTACACCTTAATCAAGATGAAGATCCTTGTGCCTTATCCATCAAAACTAAGGTAGTCATCACACGAACTAATCTGTCTGGCTATTCAAATCCTGACCTCAGGACGATAGTATTAGCACAGTCACCCATCTGGTGTTCATTCTAGTGATGAAGGCAAACTCCGGGTGCTGCATTGCCAATTGTTGGAAGTATAACTATATTAATAATCCTTGCATTTGATATAGCACCTCATCACGTCTTCAAGACTTCTCAAAGCGCTTCACAGGATATACTGTGAAATGAATTGACCGTATATTTTGTTGGAGAGACCCGGCAGCCAATTGCACAGCAGTGTCTCCACTGCACTAGGACTTGTCTGCGCTCCAGAATGAAAAGCGAACGAAATTTGGTTACCACATGGGAAAGAGTTGACTTTAGCCAAGATCCAACGTAATGAATCGCGTTTCCTCTCTCACAGCGGCCTTCAACATCGTAACGTCTTTCTCGTGGCTGCCACACTGAGGCCCGAGACCATGTTTGGTCAAACAAACTGCTGGGTCCGTCCCGACATGAAGTATATAGCCTTTGAGACAGTTAATGGGGACGTTTACATCTGCACTCAGCGAGCAGCAAGGAACATGTCCTTCCAGGGGTTTACCAAAGAGAATGGAAAGGTTCCTGTGATCGTGGAGCTTATTGGCCAGGTGAGTGTGTTCACAGATCACTGGCTGTATATATTTGTGTGAATCTGAGACATCGTTCAGTCCTGGATGTTAAGTCACCTTTGGCAAAAATCAGTATGGAAAGAAAAGAAGATGATGGATCTAATTTGTTATCTTCAAAAACTGGCTGACAACTAGAGCAAGCGGTTTTCTTTTACGTGATGTTTAGCTCTTTCTTGGCACCTCAGCTAATAGCAAACAGATGATCAGGAACTCAGTGCATATACTGTAATTCCAGAAGTCTTTAGCCTGCCCTGAGGAACAGCCTGAACTAATAGCTGAACTAATGAATTCCACACATTTAGCTACATTTCTGTACAGTGATGCTTTGCTGTAATCCTGCACAACTTATTTTACTGAAGATTTTGCTTTAAGGAATACTGCTGTGGGCTTTATGGTGTCAATTTTAAAGCTGTATTTAAAAACTTCTCAATCTACCTATGTAATTAATGTTAGATATTATGTTAAAATAGCACACAATCATACAGAATGACTGGTTTTCAGAGTAGTGGAGTGAAATCTTGGTAAATGTTCTATCCTTACTTCTAATTTCCCTTGTAATTCCCTTTAGGACATCCTTGGTGCATCACTGAGCGCTCCCCTGACTTCCTACAAGATTATCTATGCCCTCCCTATGCTCACCATCAAAGAAGACAAAGGTATTCCACGTTTTGCTGTCTGACAGTTAACGTGTAAAAGTAACTTGTTTGATAATTACCACTTGCTGACCACAAATTCTCAAAAAACAAAAGAGCTTCACGTGCGCTCATTTGAATTTATTTTCCTTCCCTCTAACAGGAACCGGGGTGGTCACCAGTGTTCCTTCTGATGCTCCAGATGATATTGCAGCTCTCCGGGACCTGAAGAAGAAGCAGGTATGTATATGGGATGAGCTCCTCCAGTTCTGGATGTGAAATGCTGCTTCCTGAGGTATCCAACCCATAGAGATGCTGAGATTTTTACAGGAAGGGTACAATTTTGTATGGTCATCTTAATATAGCATTGCCAAGCAACCAAAATGGATAGAACCTTAGCTATTTGGGTTAAGATATCCTTCCCAGAGTCCCTCCTCCTCGCTCCATCCCTTGCCACCTTCAAGGCCCATCTCAAGACCTTCCTTTTCGACCGTGCCTTCGTTCATCCTTCCTCCTACACTCTCCCTGTCCTCCACCATTCTCTAATCCCAACCTGCCCTACGGGTGCAAACCCCTCATTGTGCAGCGCTTTAGTAGGTCCGGATGTGAAAGACGCTGTATAATTTTGTATAAATCAATTTGTTGTTGTTAAAAGAGCATTTTTGGAAAAGTTACTTTTGTCTTGATCCTTTAGGCACTGAGAGAGAAGTACGGAATCAGCGATGAAATGGTCCTACCTTTTGAGCCGGTGGGTGTGCTTTAACTGAACACGATGTCCAGATAAAGACACAGATTAATGTCATTTTACATTGTAATCATCATTGAGAAACATGGCTTGCATGAGAACTGTTCAATACTGGTCAAATAAATACACATCATTCTTCCAACAATCCCATCCCTCGTAACCACAAGACGGATGAATGTAGTTCTGAACGCAGCATTCAGCGAAGCCATTGTGATCTTCGATTCTGATCTTCACTTCAAGATGGAGATTATAATGTATGTTTGTAGAGGGCCAGGATTTTGCCACATCTAACCAATGATTTTGCGGTTGGTTGACACACTAGGTCCCCATCATTGAAATCCCTGGATTTGGGAACCTCTCAGCTCCGACTGTGTGTGATGAGCTTAAGATTCAGAGCCAGAATGACCGGGAAAAGCTTATGGAGGCCAAAGAGCAAGTTTATCTGAAAGGCTTTTATGAGGGAGTAAGTAATGCATTGTGGCACTCCTACACAAATCCGCAGGGTAATGGTATCAGAGCGTTTAATTATTAAGAATAATTATGTCGGATAATTCGCTTGGAGAGTGTTCATTATAAATGTGTGTGAAGCTATTTATAAACACTTCAAAATCGCTTTCAGTAAATCTTAGTGCTGCTGTACACCAGAAGAATTATGTTTAAAAAATCTACATGCCTTTTGGTTTGAACTGTACTTAAAAAAATATAACTATAGTGGAATTATTAATTTTAGTCTAAATTAAAAGATTTAGAATTGTGACTTTGAAATCCAGCGTTGCAAAATGCTGCTAAGAAATGGTGAAGGCAAATATTCTTTGCATCTTGAGTGTGCTGACTTCTCGGAGAAATATTCTGTGGCGCAATGAATGAGGATCAGAGATGCTAATTGAATACTCACGAACCTTCTTATGTAGATAATGCTGGTAGAAGGGTTTAAAGGGCAGAAGGTGCAAGACGTCAAGAAACCGATTCAGCGGATGATGATAGACAAGGTGAGTGTTACTTTGCTTAAAAAAGATCAGTCACTGCATGACGGGAGTTCCTATGAAGCTGTTTGAGATGTTTCAATGTTATATTTTAGGCTTGTGCAAGTGATTCTTAATGACTGTATTGTAGGGAGAAGCTATGATCTACATGGAACCAGAGAAGCAAGTCATGTCCAGGTCTGCAGATGAATGTGTGGTAGCTCTGTGTGACCAGTGGTAAGTGTCTCATTGACATGATAAGGCACTTATAATAATAATAATAATTAATTTCTTTATCACTTTACCAAAAGCAAGGATCAATTTCAAGATCCTCAATCCTCCTTTTGAAATCCCTCCACAGCCTCGCTCCAGTCTCTGGCCAACCTTTTTCAGCCCCAAGTCCCAGCCCACACACTGACCTTCTGACTCCAGGTTATTGCTTGTGAACCACTCCCACTATTCCACTCTCACAGGCCAAACCTTCAGCTCCTGCTATCTGAATCCCACTGTCAAAACTCCTTTTTTTGGGTGTTTCTTGTTTTCTATTGAGGGCGGAAGGAATTCAGACTTGTACAGGTCACTGGAAGGGTCACAGCTGCTGATGAATCGTACAGATTTGTTCTCTGTTCATTTAATATGTTTATTCTGTGCTGTTGGAACTTTGTCTCACTGCTTGATTCTAAATGCAGGTACTTGGACTATGGTGAAGCAACCTGGAAGAAACAGACTGGAGAACACCTAACAAAGCTAGAAACGTATGTGCCATCATTTGGATTTTTTTTCTGTTGCACTTCTGCTCCCCTCTCCCTAACCTTTTCTTAGAGCTCTGTCCTAGCCTTGAGGGAGCAGTGATGGAAAGGCTTTAATCAACCATTGAAAAAATGTACTGACATTAGCACATTAGCTCAGACGTAGAAAAGATTGCACTGAAACAACAAGTTGCATTTATATAGCATCTTTCACGTCCCACAACTCAAGATACCAGGGTTAACAAGTTATGACCGCCATCAATATCTATCCGACACAGATTAAATCCTTAAGATAAACTGCTGCGGTTATAATACTTGCATTTGATATAGCGTCTTATCACGTCTTCAAGACGTCTCCAATCGCTTCACAGTATAGTCTGCAAAGTGGATTTGATGTATTTTATTATTACATTGGACAGGCTTTTTCTCTTCCATTTTTCAGATTCTGTGAGGAGACCAAGAGGAATTTTGAAGCTAGCCTGAACTGGCTCCAGGAACACGCCTGCTCAAGAACATATGGTCTAGGTATTTATTGCATTGGTACCAACTTTTTTGTTGACGGCCATTCTCAGGAATGTCGTGACTTGGATTTCCTGATGTCAATCATGCCTCCTTGAGCAGTTACGAAGGGGAATGCTTGTCACTGAGCCACAGGAAGAAAGCGGGTGGGAAACATAAAGAACTAGTCATTCAATTAATTAAGTTCCATTTTGATAGGGCTCCTTCATCTGCATCAAATCTGTAGAAAATCCAACTCCTAATTAAGACCGAATTTAATTTTCCAAAATTCTGCAAAACCTCAAATTCTAAGGTGTTGATCTTAAGGCTAAAAAAGAAATGAGACATTTGAGGTTTCTGATACTTTGAATAAGATGGGCTAATGACTGTTCGACATATCTGCCAGAGGAGAGATTGAATGTGGTGTTCAAGAGACGAAAGGAATAAGGGAAAAGGCAATAGTTGTAGTAATAATAATCATAATTTGATATAGTGCTTTATTGCGTCTTTGAGGCGTCTCAAAACACTTCACTGGATATATTATAAAACAGAGTGACTGTATTGTAGCCGATATTCCTTTGCCTGTCTACCAATGTTGTACAGTGTTGTCCATGTTGTTTTCTTTCAGGCAGTCGCTTACCATGGGATGAGTATTGGCTGATCGAGTCCCTCTCCGATTCCACTATTTACATGGCTTACTATACAGTGGCTCACCTGCTGCATGGGGGATCTCTGAACGGTCAGGGAGCGAGTCCACTCGGCATCAGGTGAGATACCAGGCTGTCAAAGTGAGTTTAATGCGTGTAAAAACCGCATTACAGCGCGGTGGCCATCGTGAAATGGAGCTCAAATATTGTGGAGCATCATTTTCTAAGTGCAGACTGTTAGGACACTTTCATTTCTGAAACCTGGGTTTGAACTCCGCCCAGACTAATGGGTGGGTGACTGCCGACTGTTTCATTCCCGCATTAGCTATCCTTGATATTTAGGAAGTGTCACACTAGTACGAGGGAAGGGAACTTGCACTCAGATTGGCGTATTGAAAGCTTTACTCCGTCTCCAGCTCGTACTTTGCCTGATTTAAGAGTGACGGCAGCTGATACTCGGTGGCTAGTGGTGAGAATATGTTCCACTTCCATTGCTGACTTGCTTCGATATCGGTCAAAGAAGAACCGAGGCCAAGAACCACGGCACCTTCCAGCGTATTGCACTGAAGGCCGAGTCTTCTTGTTTGACGTTTGGCCTTTATTTCCCTCAGGCCAGAACAGATGACAAGAGAAGTCTGGGATTATATATTCTTCAAAGGAGCCCCGTATCCAAAGACCCAGATTGCGAAACCGATTCTGGATCAGCTGAAGATGGAGTTTGAGTACTGGTATCCGGTGGATTTGCGCGTTTCTGGAAAGGACTTAGTTCCAAACCATCTCTCGTACTACTTGTACAATCATGTAGCCATGTGGCCGAAAGACAGGTGAGTGAACATTGCTGGGTTAGAACACGTATGAGATCCATCAACACCCCTCTCTGTATCCTGAGACTGGGAGAAATCTGTCCAAATCTGTTTCAGTCGGACTATGTTGGACAGGTAATGGTACATTTCTATATCATTTGTTTCTCAGTGATAACTCCCCAGAACGCTACTAATGGACATAACAACTGCTTGTCAACCTGAACTAAACAATTATATTGGTAGTGAACGGGAGGCACTCATTTAAAGGGGGAAAATATGTCTTCTTGTTCTGTGTGAAAAATTGTATGTATTTTTGGCATAATCCAGCTTTACTTTTGAATTGCAGTAATAAGTGGCCTCAGGCGGTGAGAGCGAATGGACACTTGCTGTTGAACTCAGAAAAGGTACCATATATGATGTTACTGTTGGGAGATTTAGAATGAGGGGATGTTAGTGGTTTGAATTGTTTTCAAGGCTTTTGTCGGCGAGTTTTGCTCTGAATCACACTGCCCTTGTTCCTTTTCCCTGTAGATGTCAAAATCCACGGGCAACTTCCTTTCCCTGACTGAAGCTGTGGACAAATTCTCTGCTGACGGTAATTTTGTGTTCTCAGCGGGTTTGTTTTCTGAGAAAGGCAGCTCCCCCATGCACCACCGACACGCACACACATACCTGTGCGCATTTAATTATATTGCCCCTTGCATTTGATATAGTGCACTTGCATGTCGCGAGGATATACTGTAAAGTGTAGGATTTCACAGGATCGCTGTAAAATGTGGTAGCTATATTTTGTAGCCAAACGCAGCAGTCAATGTGAGCACAAGAATGTCCCATAAACAGCCGTGAAGTGAATGACCAATTTTGTCTGGGGAATTGTTTCCCAGTACACCGGGAGAAACTCCCTCTTTTTTGAATAGTTCCGTAGGATGTTTAACTTCCACCTGAACATGCAGACAGGACTTCAGTTTAACGACTCGGTTTAACTTCTCATAACACGTAAAATATATCTGGCTGTAGTTTAATTGAGGCAATCTTTGCGCAAACACATTTTCCACAAAAGAGGTGAAGAGGTTGCCACAAAAGCATTATTCTTACTGCAGGCCGAACTGAGAAATAGTGCCAACCTTGTGCACAACCACTGAGTTTATATAATGGAGACTTGGTCATAGGAACAGAGAGATGAGGAACATTTTTTACTGGCCCCTTGTTTACTTGCGTCAGGCAAGTGGTTACAGATGCTGTGTAACCCGTGTGAAATGTTTGACACAAACTCCCCCACAGGAATGCGCCTCGCTCTGGCTGACGCCGGCGACACAGTGGAAGACGCCAACTTTGTGGAAACCATGGCGGACGCGGGTATACTGCGCCTGTACACCTGGGTGGAGTGGGTGAAGGAAATGATCGCAAACCGCGAGAGTCTTCGGAGTGGGGCCGCCAACACCTTCAATGACCGAGTCTTTGCCAGGTAAGATAGCCATGGGTTGCTGCACAGGACGGGAAAATGCTCACCGTGAGCATTCAGACTGTTCCAAATACCGCAGAATTGTTCTTCTGGAACCAGTTTTAAAATTGCTTTTCTTTTCCGATTCCGTGCTGCCATCCTGCAGCTGAGAGATTTTGAAGCTTCGGGACATTCATCCGATGTGAAAGGCACAGGATAAGTGCAAATGGACGAAGCTAGTGTTTTATCCTAGGATGCCATCACTGCTGCCTTATATTTAATCAACAGGTTCTCTCTGTACGGAGTGGCAAAGTCAATTGCATTAATTAAATGCTCAGTATCTGTGGAGATCTCTGTGGTACATGTGTCTAAACTACTGCTTTGTTGCTTCCTTCATAGTGAGATGAATGCTGGCATTCTGAAGACAGAACAACACTATGAGAAGATGATGTTTAAAGACGCTTTAAAAAACGGTTTCTTTGAGTTTCAGGTATGGGACCGGTGCTGCATGTTATTAGAACAAGTCGTACACTTTGCCAGGAAGAACCTGAATTTGTTAGGTTACTGCAAGCCCTCAGACGCACTGGAATCCAGAGGACTGATTAATAATAATCCTTGCATTTGATACAGTGCCTCATCGCGTCTTCGAGACGTCTCAAAGCGCTTCACAGGAATCACTGTAAAGTGAATTGACTATGTATTTTGTGGGCGAAATGCAGCAGCCAATTACGCACAGAGGTGTCCCACAAACAGCCGTGGATTGAGTGACCAATTTATTGTTCTATTATTTTTTTTTGACGGAATTATTACCCCCGGAAAAGCGATCCACCAATCGACTAACAACCCGTTTCCCACTCGCTGCTAAGTAAATGGGTGCGGAGTAAGTAAATTTGCCCAATGTTTGCCCTGCTCGGGGAATCGAATCCAGGTCTCTTGCTTGCGAGGCGAGTGCTCTAAGCTACAGAACCGCTGAGCTACAGGACTCCACAATGACTTTTTAATGTGTGTTACAGGCGGCGAAAGACAAGTACCGTGAGGTTGCAGTTGAAGGAATGCACCGAGACCTAGTCTTCCAGTTTATTGAAACCCAGACTCTGCTGCTGGCTCCCATATGCTCTCACCTTTGTGAACACATCTGGGCTCTTCTAGGAAAGGTAATAATAATGATAATCTTTGCATTTGATATAGCGCCTCATCACGTCTTCTAGACGTCTCAAAGCGCTTCACAAGATATACTGTAAAGTGAATCAACTGTATATTTTGTAAGCGAAAGGTAAGGTCACACTGTCATTATAGTAAGGTTCCACATTTACTAACTCCGATGAGCTTTTAAGATAAAGAATTGAACGCTTCTGCATCTCAGTGTGAGCAAACCATATCTGAATCCCCCCCCAAGGAAATCAAAGCTTTATCCTAATTGAATTTTTAAGCTGATCTCGTAACCACCTTGACGAATTGCTGACTTGTAAAATGTAGGATTATTCCAAGTGCCTTTATGTATCCCACTGGGCCGGAGTTACAAACCTAATAGCCCTATATTTTAGTGAAGTAAAATCACGGAGAAAATCCTGCTAAGAGTTTTAGACTGGGTTGTTTTAAGTACCCATGTAGTTGTTTCTCATTTTATTTGAATGTATTGGGATTGAAATGGCTTCTTTGCCCTTTTTTGCACTTTGCAGCCTGAGTCGATCCTGAAGGCGAGCTGGCCAGCAGGCGGAGCCGTGGACGAAATCCTCATTCGCTCTTCCCAGTATTTAATGGAAACAGCGCACGATGTCCGACTCCGTGGCAAGAGCTACATGATCGTTGGTAAAGGAAAGGTGTGAAGAGCTGATGTGGGTTATTGCTGGGGAGGGTTTCGGGAACAGTCTGCGTATCCAAGGGTCTAAGAGCTGATCTCCTCAACTGATCTCTTTGGCCCATCGGGTCTTTGGACCCTATAATGTAAGAGTTTCCCGCTCTATACCTCGGTGTGAGTTGGTGCTTGTTCTGTGGATTATCCATAGTCTGTCTGTGCTGTAAGTAATGCCTGTGCATTCTTCTGTTACAGAAAGGGGAAGTAAAGCCAGTACAGAAGCCCTCCCACTGCAATATTTATGTGGCAAAAAACTACCCCTCATGGCAGCACACTGCTTTATTGGTGCTTCGCAAGCACTACAAGGCAAGTGACAAATGGTTTTCTCGCTCAGCACTAAAACTCACAGTAATTAGGCTGGACAGTTTCATCTGTGTTGTTCCCCACAATATTAATAATTATTATTATTAGTTTCAATATTTGTAAACGCTTTTAAGGTGAAGTAACTTGGTTCAGCAGAGCTCCTCTGTCACCCTCACTGCAAGACTTCTAACAGGCAGAGTGTCATAATAATAATCCTGGCGTTTGATACAGCACATCATCACGTCTTCGAGATGTCTCAAATAATAATAATAATAATCCTTGCATTTCATACAGCGCTTTTCACGTCGGGAGGACGTCCCAAAGCGCTTCACAGAATATACCAGACTTGGTGAATTGACTGTATATTTTGTGGGCGAAACCAAGAAGTCATCGCTCTCTAACTTTCCACCTCACCCAATGGATAGTGTCCAGTGTGATCAGATGCCATTAGCATTGGAAGGCAGAGTCAAAAGTGCCATAAATACTGAATCTCTTTGATTTGAATGATGCCGTTCTGTGCTAATGTATATAGTATTTTTAGACAGTTTGGAATCTGGACTAAATTTCATTGTGGTGGTTGCATTCTAGGAAAATGACAGCCGTCTGCCGGACAATAAAGTTATCGCCACTGAACTGAAAGACCTGCCCGAGCTGAAGAAATACATGAAGAAAGTCATGCCCTTCGTAGCTATGATCAAGGTACGGACTTGGACAGTAATTAGCAAAGTGTGTATGTCTTATCCTGGGCTTCAAAGTGGTTGTGTGTGTGTGCCTAAGAGTGTGTGGGATGGGGTGGGTGATATTTGTAGCACATGAGTAAATTGAAACTTAACACTAGTCAACTCCTCAAACAACAACACATGACCCTCCGCCTCACTATTCCAACCCAGGGCAGCAGGAATGAGGTGGGCAAGCACACCCGAGTACAAACACTAGTTTTATTTTTTTTCTACAGGAAAATCTAGAGAAGAACGGACCTCGTGTTCTCGACCTGGAGCTGGAGTTTGACGAACGGGCTGTGTTGATGGAAAACATTGTCTATTTAACCAATTCACTGGAGGCAAGTGCCACTGACAGCGCTAATGTGGATCTACAGACATCACTGAAAAATAACTGTTTCTTTCTAAGGATACGAGTAGTGGCCAGAGACAGCGCTAGGTACTAGCGGAACCTTCAACACACTCTGAGTGTATTGTTTCCTGGTGTGTGCTGGTCTGGCAATGAGCTCTTATTCAGTACAGACACCTTGGCGATGGCAAATTGAAGGAGAAAAGTTTGTATCAAATACTAAAATGTGCCAAAGGGGCGAGCGCTTCATCCTCGTGCTATATAAGTGCAAGTTGTTGTACTGATTTATTTTTCCCTCCTCTGCTATCGTTTTACAGCTGGATGGAATTGACGTGCTGTATGCATCAGACGCAGACGATAAAATCCGAGATGAATGCTGTCCAGGAAAACCGTTCTGCGTGTTTAGAACAGAGGTTATTATATTTGTTGTCATGTTATTATATCACAAATATCGGATCCGTTTACTTTTCAAATCCTGATCCCCAATCGAACCGTTTCCCAGGCCTCTGGTATCTTGCCTCAATAGACACTCAGGAGCCTAGACACACTGATTTCAACACTTCAAAGTAGACCTTCAACAACAACAACAACAACAACAAGATTCCATTTATAAAGCGCCTTTCACGTCAGGAGGACGTCCCAAGGCGCTGCACAGTTGGGTCATGACCCGAGCAGGGGGGAAATGGTCAGGGTGAGGGAGGGAAGGGAGGGAGCGAGGAGGGGGAAATGGTCAGGGTGAGGGGAGGGAAGGGAGGGAGCGAGGAGGGGGAAATGGTCAGGGTGAGGGGAGGGGAGGGAGCGAGGAGGGGGAAATGGTCAGGGTGAGGGGAGGGATGGGAGGGAGGAGAAGGGGGAAGAGAGTCGAGAGGGGAGCTGAAGGCTCGGTATCTGTATGGCTCATTTCCACACCAGGTAGATTCATTGGGAAGAGCGCATCATATCACACAGTTTAACAAGTGCAAAATTGCATCCCTCAGGTTAATCATTAATCATGTCCTCACTTCTTGCCATGGTGAGCTCATCATTGTGGTCTCAAAGGGTGATGGGGTTTATAAAAAATAGCCATAAACTTAAAAGCGCTTTGTGGTTCTGAAATAAAACCCCCCATCCACCTCGGCTTTGCTTTCTCTGCACACAGAACGCAGCCCTTCCCAAGCCAGGTTCTCTGTTGAGAGAACTGACCCCAATATGTGTTTCACTCAGTTCTGGACAATCCTCCCAATGAAGGACATTAAAATTGTCACGCGATGAATCAAGGGAATCAGTGGACATAGATTCAGAAGAACAAACTGCCACTGAGTCTCCTTTTGTGACTTTTAAACCATATATTATTGGGTTTCTGTTCCCCATTGGAAGACCCACAGGGTGGAGTGGTGAAGCTTGGTGTGTAAGGCAATTCTTGACGAGTTTTTTTTTCTCTCTCTCTCTCTCTCGTCTTGTTCACAGCCTGGTGTGCCCATGTACTTGGTGAACCCGCAGCCAGCTAATGGACATTTCTCTACCCGGATCGACATCCGACAGGGTGACAGGAAGGACACCGTGGTTAGAAGGCTGATGAAGATGGACCGGAGCCTTAAAGGTATATCTGATTGGCCAAGAGGGATTTAAACACTCGGATTTTGTTGTGTCGGCTGTTTGAGCTGCCTGTGTAAATGTAAGGATTTTATTCTTTTAAGAATATCTATTTTTCATATATTATGCAAAGCTGTTGGTGGCTGGGGGACAATCTGTTTTATGTCTCTACTGTCAATCCACGACTGTTCTGTGGGACACTGCAGCGCTTTCACCCACAAAATAACACGTTTCGATTTGTGTTTTCAGACGAGGCCAGAGTAAAGCTGATGAGATACGAAGACCCAGCACTCGGTCCGCGTCAGGTCCCAGTCCTTGGGAAGGAAGATGTGGGTAAAGTGGCCATTTCCGAGCAGGCGACCTTTCACGTGGACTTGACCGCGAAAAAGATCTACTTGGTTGATGCCAGCATGAAGCTGGATTTAGGAGACACACTCATCTACCTAGTGCATTGACGGACGACAGAATGAAACCCTCCATCCCTCACCCTAGTCGCAGGCTGGTAACGCATTGACTGACCTCTGTTTTCCCCCAATTATCAATGTTAAGTATAGATACTGAACTGACAATTCACCTCGACTTTGCTCAAAGCGGTTTTGCTCCAGAACTCAAGAGTGCTGATTGATAGATGTTCTTGGTTCTGTCTGTAGCACTGAATTTCTACATGAATTAATGAAACACGTGGGTCAGGAGGTAATGTGGAAGGTCGTTTCATCAATAAAAGGTTAAGCCAGGCAGTGCAGCCCGAGTTTGATTTCCTGCCATTTGCAAAAGGCTTGAGCAAACCACAGGAGATATGTGTCTCGATGCATCTTCTGCAATGGGAGCCACAAAACAACCGCACAAGAGGGGTGTAATGATATGGGCTGTCGGGTGGGTGGTTGTCTTAGCTTCTAGGGAGCGATAGCCCTTCAGTGCTGACGTGCGCCAAACTCCAAAACCCTTTCCTGAGGGAAAGTACTGCGTCTCAAACAGCAAATGTTTTGTTCCTCAGTAGACGACAATTGGGAAGTGGGGGCAAGACTAGAGTCTGTTACCTTCTCAGGGTATGAATTAAATGCAACCTTTCCGCGCAGCATCTGGCCTTATTGTGCGTCCTCTCTTTGGAGCGAGGGTGCGGGGGGGGGCTATCAACCAAGTTCTGTTCAGGGCCCAGTTTTAATAATCAACCAAAATTTGGTCACTTCAATCCACGACTACGTGCCCGGGACACCGCTGTGCGCAATTGGCTCCCGCGTTTCGCCCACAAGATACAATCAGTCAATCCACTTTACAATATGTTCTGTGAAGAGCTTTGAGACGTCTTAACCATGTGCCAGATCAAATGCAAAAGATTATTATTTTATAAACTTCGCCATTGAGACTTACCTAAAGAGGAAGGTAATTGCCAGTCGCTGCCCCAATCTCCTTTCACATTGTTCCTCTGCTTAGGAACGAGCTGTTAGCCACTGCGTGGCGACATTGAGCCACTGTCGATCAATTTACACAGCAGTCGACATTGCAGCTCGTGGTACTGCAGTCGGGAAGTGTACGAGACAGTATTTTTTGCGGGGTTTCCCCTGTTCCTTTTTTTTTCTCTCTTGTGAACCCGCAGATCTGTTCCGCAGTTGAGTTTGACACAACGAGGATCGTGCAAACATCTCCCTGTACACGGACGGGCAGGGACCTGTCTTTTCGGTATTTTTTTTTTCCTTTCTTGTTCAAAAAAAAATGTTCTTTCCTTCGCTGCTCATCTCCATGACGACCAACTCTGTGCATGAGAAAGGCGGTGAATGTGAGGCTGAGAGTACGGGCGGCAGGCAGGGTGCAAAGGGGTGACCAGGGCAGTTTAAGATGGGTGCGTTGCAAAGGCTAGCTTTACCCATGCAGTGTCTTCAGTCTTAAGCAGGTCTGTTGTGATCTTCCCACTGGTCGTCATAATAATTTTTACTTTTGATAAAACGCTTTATCACGTAGTTGAGACGTCTCAAAGTGTTTCACAGAGTGTACCGTAAAGTGAATTGACTGTATATTTTGTGGGTGAAACGCGGCAGCCAATTGCGCACGGCAGAGTCCCCACAGACAGTCGTGGCTTGAGTGACCAAATTATTCTTTTTTTGTGAAGGCAAACTGAGGACATCTGTGTATTTACGTACTAACGACAGATACCGTAACTTCAGCAGACAAGTTGTTTGACTTCTTGTCCACTGAAGAGTATGTTGTTTGTGTCAGCAAAGGATGCTAAACATTTCGAGCGTTTAATATCTCATATGTATGACCACAAAACTGGAGTTAAATGATCGGAATTCGATAAGGATATCAATAGCTCAGAATCCTTAGAGCTTGTGACATTTTTTTGAAAAATATCTTTATTTGGCAGAATCAATCTCCATTTTATTACCGAGTTCTCCCCCCACAACACCCCCCCCCCCCCACCCCCCATCCCTCCCTTTCTGGTTTAAACAATTTTTACACAACAAAACTCCACATCTTTAACACAGTGTTTATACACAATAATCGGGATCTTCAGTGCTACATTACGGTACAATCTTCTGCTGCTTGTGCAGTTGACAATTCCCCCGCAGATACATCTACTTTTACACTGAAACAACACATTAATAATAATAATAATAATAATCCTTGTATTTGATATAGTGCCTTACCACGTCTTCGAGACGTCTCAAAGCGCTTCACAGAGCCTGCCACCCTCTTCACACAGTTCGATTAAAACACGTACAAACACATCAGAAGTACAGACATTGCCATGCAGCCTCCGACAGTGACGTAGCTGAGATCGGTCACCCCAGTCTCGGTTTGTCCGTCCGCTCCTTATGTCTGCCTCGAATCAAGCTTTGTAACGAGCTCTCGTCAAGGGGAAGCAAAAGTCATTTGGGATCCAGGCTCCGCTGTAGGCTATGTAGCAAATGAAGAGACTCTGAGACCACCTGGTGACTGATGTCAATAATACGTGGGATCTAGTTTGCAGTGCTTTGTCAGCGTCAAATTCACGCTTGCCAAAAAGTGTCCTTTTCCCGAGGGGTAAAAGGAGTTCTGCTCACTGGAAGCTAAGCAGTCCGGTAGAGTTGCACTTACCAGCTCTAGACGTCCGGTACTTTTAATGCGGTCACCGGCTCTTCGATGACATGTAATGGTCCTTTTAAAAGCTTAGGAAGAGCTGTCTAGGGGACAGATATTAGCAGAGGCTGAATCAATTTGGACTGCTTGCATTTGTGCTCTAGTAGGTGGCGGTAGGGAGCTCTCCCGCCTCCTCTCCAGCGCCGCTCGCACTAATGGGATGATGTGCAGGTTACTGCTGCGTCTCCCTTGTGCAAGTTGTGAGCGGAAAATACGGCAATGTGCTTGATCCCGTCGTGTGCGCAGCGCTATGTGGAGAGGTGTGCCTCATCCCTTTTAGTTTTGAACCGTTAAGAACTTGCACTCGCTCTTAAGCGCCTTTCATCTTAGGACTGACATATCTCACAAGCGTCTGAGGTGGAAATGAATTGAACGTTGTTATTTACGCAGCAGTCGCGGCCGCTGATCTGCGCCATAGGCCACGATAAGACATGCGGGCGAATAACTTGGAGTTGGGAGTAAATTTGGACCGGGGGCGCAGGGAACGTGAGGAAGGATAACGGAAAGCATAAAATGCACGTTTCTTTGAAGTAGCGATCGGACGAGGAAAGGAAAGGGCAATCCCTTTGCGTCCTTGGGTTTCAGTTATTGTAAATTTTCCACGAAGCTTCCAGGAAACAGCCCGCTCTTGCCGCTCTCCTTGTGGGTCCCCTGAAACCAGCCATCCTGATGCTTCCTGTGAACCAGCAAGATGTCGCCTTCCTGTAGATCAAGCTCTGCCTCACCTTGGGCTGGATAGGGAAACACCACTCTACATCTGCCGGAGACAAGGGCAACGACAACAAAACATTACACTTCACATCGAGAGGACATCCCAAGGAGCTGAACGCTCAGGGATTCGGACCGGAGCAAGTTTTCGGGATCAGGAGGGGTGGAGGTCAGGAGGGTGACCGAAGGCGCGGTCAGAAAGCAGGGTGTTGAGACACGACTTGAAGGACGCAAGGGAGGGAATGAGGCAAAGGGACTGGACCTTAACGGCAGTGGTTCAGGAGGTCAAGCTACCACAGTAGGAGTCCATCAGTGTTTCTCTTTCCATACTGATGGCTCACAATCTGGGGTTGGTTTCACCGGTCTCAGCAGTGTTCTGGGACTTCACCCAAGTGGACATCCCCAGTGTGTGAACCTTGACCGTGGATGCTGCCAGATCGACCTTTACAGGATAGAGAGGGGCGGTTTGGTCCTTCAAGTCTGCACTGGTGATTTTCTTCAAGTGAGCTGTCTAATCTCATCTCATTCTCCTGCACACACTCTGTAACACTTTAATTAATATTCCTTGTTTGAAATAGCGAAGCGCGAAGAATTACTAATCCCGTTGAAAAGAATGGGTACGCAACTGTTAAGTTAGTGGACTTCCTTTGGGACTGGTTGCGGTTTCAGCTGGTTAGACACCCGCAGTTACCCCAACGCACACTTTGGGGTTCCCCAAGCCTTGGCTCCTGCCAACCCGCGCCTAACACTTTCCGGAATTAGATAAGCAGGATGAGTCCCTCTGGGGAGAGAGAGCGTGTATTCTATTCCAGTCCAACAACCGATCTCTGGGATTTCCACGTGTAAGTGGGACGCATGGAAATCTCAGATTGGTTTGGATAGCTCTTAAGCAACGGTGATGTTTTGGATGCTCTCAAGCGACGGTGATGAGTTTCCGCGCGTGTCGGGACCCCTGGCTGACCACAAAAAAAAAACGGTTGCTCCCTCCCAGCAAAACAGCAACAACAATAGAGCCCTTCAGACCTGGAGCGCTCAAAGGTCAGTTCGTACCTGTTGAAACACATCGCATGCGTTTGCGAGGCCTTCGGGGATTCTGCAGTGGCCGAACTGTGAGGGCGGGAGGGGGAGATGCACTGATAGCACGAATCCCACGATCCCGTCTTCCTGTGTTCCACTTGGCCTTGAGCAGGTCCTCGCCTGTCACTCCCGGTTGGGCACGAGACACGAGGCACGACCTGTACGGTCGGCTCTCCAGCCGCCTGCTCGGGTTTGACTGGCCTCACTATTGGGACGCACTTGGCGGTCGCTTGGAAAGCATTCCTGATGACCGTTGCAGCACTTTGGGGGCGCGGGAAAGTTTCCGCTCTGGCCCTGGCCTGGAAAGAGATACAAAGGGGGAAAAAAAAAGTCAATATAATAATAATAATCCGTTTAAACCCACCTCCAAATTTAGATGAATTGAAGACATTTCCAAGAGTCCCACAGGACTTTAATTCCAAGATAATGGCCTTAATTCCGAATCCATGAGCACCTCCTACCTTTACCCCCTACTCTTTGGAACTCCCATCGCCAAGTCCCTTCATCTCACCCCCTCCCTTGTCTCCTTCAAGGTTCGTCTCAAGACCCTCCTCATCGACCGTGCATTCGGCTACCCTCCTACCACTACCCTCCCTTGCCCTCCACGCCTCCTGGTCCCAACCCCCAACTCAGGTCCAAGTCGTTGACTGTCCAGCGCCTTTGGATGTCCTCCCGACGTGAAAGGCGCTGCGCAAACGGAACCGTGTGCTGTTACCGCGTTGCTAGTCTTTCCACTGTCGTCTCCGTGATGTGAGGCTGAAGGCGAGGAGTCTGACCCCGGTACGAGACATCTCCTCGCAGGTGCGCAGGTGGGGACCTCTTGCTGTTTCAGTACCACCGTGCTGCTACCACCAGGAGGCGCCGCAGGAGCACCGTCGGCAATGGTTCTGGCGGGCTGGTGGGCTCTGTACATGCCCATCGCAGCTACGGAACAGGCGGCTTGGACGATGACTGGGTGAAGCAGCTGGTGGGTTGAGTGAGGCTGCGATTGCACCACAACAGCTGGCACACACTTGCTCAAGACACTCTGGGACTGAATCGGAGGCACCACAAGGGTCGGCCGGTGGACGTGAGCTGCGGAGAGACAAAAGGAAATGCACAGCCAATGAGTTGGTTTTCCATCGGCCCCGGAACAAAGACGTGAACTCCCATTAAATCGACAGAAAGGGTAACATTTTTGCCACGCTCCTTAAATCTCTTCTTTTGCGTAGCACAGGACAATGATAATGATAACGATGGTAATAACCCTCTCGTTTCATACCCCGCCTTACCACGTCTCAAAGGGCTTCACGGAACATCCTCGTAAAGTGATTATGCACAGTTTATACAGGGGAAGCAGCTGATTTGTCCCTAATTTTAGGCTTCTGTTGTGCCCTTCTCTGAGCAGCTCCCAGCCTCTCCTCAGCACGCATTCTCCTCCCTCTTAAAACCCCGGTTGAATGAAAAAAAACCTCAAAGGAATCGTTCGTTGCCGTTTCGCCTGTTCGGGCAGACGTTAAAGATCCCGAGGCGCTATTCGCAAAGGGAAGGGAATTTGTCCCTGGCTAGAGGTCATAGGGACTTCGGAACAGAGGGTGTCCATTCAGCCCCTCGAGTCTGTTCCGCCGTTCTGCGTCACGACTGATCTGTACTTCAATTCCAAATACTCGCCTATTTACTCCATGTCCCTCGATACCCTGACCTGACAAAAAAATCTATCCACCCCAGTCCTCCAGGCGAACTGACCATTTATAAACACGGCCGCGGCATTTCTGCGAAGCTTGTTCTTGTTGTTTGGAGCCGCTGCAGGAGTTTATTTCACTGTGTTATTGCTGCCGCTGACGAGAGCAGATGGTCGGGAGGAGGAGGAAGATAAGCCGTTCAGGCCTTTTGTTTAAGGAGCGACTTTGAGATTTCGCAGCAGCTTGGGAAGCAAAGTCTGCACACGTTTCACTCGTTCAGCCGTTTACCCAACTGATTTATAGATTAAAGCACCCACGTTTCTCCATTATTCAGCACTCTGCATAAACACCCATTCAACCGTGTCCCCAGTCCTATCGCTGGTATCGAGAGGCACGAGACTTGATTGAAACATTCAACATTCTTAGCGAAACGGAAAAGTATAAATACATCAACAATTACATTTCCTTTTGGCTTCTCCCCCAGGACTGGCTCTGTGTTAACCCGATCGTAAAAGAAAGGACATTGATTTATAGCTAAATGGCTTTTGCTGATGTTTCTTTGCCATCGCCTTAAGGCTTCTAAAGGTCTTCGATAACAGTGTTCTTTTGCTGTAATGTGTCGTTACTGAGCCTGGCTTGCTGCACTGCGCATACGGTGTCACACTTGCACAGGTTTCACTCTGCAGAAACACATGCAGCTCTCTAACCCGAAGTGGGGTCCAACACAGGTATTTCTGAACGGAGATTGCTTAATAATGGCCCGTTGTTCCGTAAGGTGGTCCACTGCAGGTTAATCGGGTACACGTCAAATCCATTGAACGACTGGATTTCTGTATTATTCAGCAAGAGTTCTGAAAAATGTTACATATATTTCGTACTGCGCTGCCTTACTGGGAGAAATAAGAAAAAAAAAGGAAATAATGGGAAGAAAAATAATAATAATAACGCATTTCATACAGCGCCTTATCACGTCGCTGAGACGACTCAAAGGGCTTCACAGAATACACTGTAGAGTGAATGGACTGTATATTTTGTGGGCGAAAATGACAACAACTTGCATTTATACAGTACCCTTCCCACGGGACTCCGTATCGGAGCGCTTAAAGGTAGCGTAACTTGATGCCGAGCCGAGGAGAAAGGATTGGTGACCGTAGACACAGTCCAAGTCTTTAGCCTGGATCCACAGGAAAAATCCCGGATCATAAGGCGGGAGGAATACATAAGAACATAAGAATTTGCTGGGCGAAAGAAGACCAAAGTCCATCTAGTTCGCCTTCCACCATCCTGGCAGTCGCTTGACATGTCGGGTCCCAAACTACACTCCTGTGCGCAATTGGCTGCCGCGTTTCGCCCACGAAATATACAGTCAATTCGCTTTACCGTGTAATCTGTGAAGCGTTTTGAGACGTCTCGAAGGCGTGATAAGGCGCTGTATCAAATACAAGGATTATTATTATTATCCCGACTAGACATAGAGTGTCTGGCCTTCTTTAAACCTTACCCCTGTAGCCTGCCCCACACAAGCACCTCACTGTCATCTCTCCTGTGGGAAGCGGTGGTGACATGGGTTCAGTTCTTCTCTTGCCAGGGCTGGTCTGGGCGGCCAGGCCGGGCTCAGGCGCGGACCCTTTCTCTTGTGGGTTCCCCACGGCGGACAGGCTGCTGGTTTGATCACCTCCACCTCCCAGGTTAGCCGTCGTCGGGCGCACTTTTGACTCAGTGATTCCGCAAGCGTTTCTGCTAAGATAAGAGCAGTAATAATGTGATAAATAATCCTTGCATGTGACGCAGCGCCTTATCTCGTCTTCGAGACGTCTCAAAGCCCTTCGCAGAGTATACTGTGAAGTGAATCGACTGTGAGTTTTGTGGGTGAAGCACGGCAGCCGATTGCGCACAGCGCACAGCGGGTTCCCCACAAACAGTCGTGCTGTCGCTCAGCGTTCTTGTGTTGCTCTGTTATTCCTAGAGCTGCGCTCGCTCTTTCGCACGTCCCCTCCTGTGCTATAAACAGCAGTTTAGAAGTTATTAATTACCTGCTGCCGAGCACAGAGTAATTGCCAGTCAGGTTCCCAGCTTTGACTGTTTTCGTGGGGTTCCCTCTGGTCCATCCAACCGGAGAGATCCCATATGCTCGGAGTATTTCGCTCCTCTGTGCTCCCACCTGTCCAGTTCTTGGAACAGTGTGAGACATTAAGGAAACGTACCTGCGAGGAGAGATTGGGAGTTTGACAGCGAAGGACAATGAGTGACCCAACTCGCTGATCGAAACTTCTTCACTTGTCTGTAAATTGACACAAGGAAACCTGCAACTGTCAACCCCGCCAGCCGCTGATCTCTCAGTCAGGGTCAACCCGCAATCGAGACCCTCACAAGGAAGCCACCATCTCGGCCTCTGGCACTCGCAGCTGCCATTGAGCTGCCTCTTCGGTTAAAAATCGCCGGCTTATTTTCAGTCGGCTTCCCGGTGGGCTGTGCAGACGGACACTTAGCTTCGCAGCCCAGAAATGCTCGGGGTTCCCTTCCAGCTCCACCGTTTGAACCGTGGCAATACTATAGCACAGAAGAAGGCCGTTTGGTCCATTGATTTCTGAGCTCAGCTCAGCTCTCTCACGGATACTTACACAGGCGCTTGTGGCTTTGGGTTTGTTGGTTTGGATGAGACTGGGGCAGGTTGTGAATCCGTGTCCGTCGTGCCTGAGACAGAGGCACCTATTTCAGCGGTGTCACAGCGCATCTGTGAATAAAATAAGAGGAAAATATTGGAACCTGGGACCGATATCATTGTCACTGAGTCCGTAGCGGATAGAGATGACGGTGTCTTTACTTAGCAGAGCTTAAAGCCCATTTCTCTAGTCTTATTTCCCCTTTCCCTCCCTTCCCAAGTACAGTAACATTCTTTCCCAAGTATTTATCTATAATAATAATAATAATCCTTGCATTTGTTATAGCGCTTTTCACGTCGGGAGGACGTTCCCAAGCTCTTCACAGAACACACTGTAAAGTGAATTGACTGTATATTTGTGGGTGAACGCGGCAGCCAATTGCGCACAGCGATGTCCCACAGACAGTCGTAGATTGAAAATGACCAATTTATTATTGTTTTTTGGTTTTGGAGGGATTATTATTAGGCTCTGTGTGGAGTAAGGAAACTTGCCCAAGGTTTCGCCCTCTGCCTGGAATTGAACTCAGGTCTCTCACTTGCAAAGCGAGTGCTCTAACCACTGAGCTACAGGACTCTCTATGTATAGACACCATGGGCCGAATGGCCTCTTTCTGTCCTGCTTTAAACACAGGAAGAGGCCATTCATATTATCTGTACTACAACTTAGTTAAAGAAAAAGCAACAAGATTTCATTCATAGAGCGCCTTTCATATCGGGAGGATGTCCCAAGGCGCTGGACAGTTGGGTCGGGACCCGAGCATTGGGGGGAAATGGTCAGGGTGAGGGGAGGGAAGGGAGGGAGCGAGGAGGGGGGAAATGGTCAGGGTGAGAGGAGGGAGCGAGGAGGTGGTAAAGAGTCGAGAGGGGAGCTGAAGGCACGGTCGAAGAGAAAGGTCTTGAGTCCGGCCTTGAAGGAGGAAAGGGAGGAAGCGGCGATGTCTATAACTGTACAAGGTGTACAACTGCCTAAATCCCGTTCAAGAATTTATATTCTGTGCAAGTTTGACGTAACCCATACTTTGCGTGAGTCATATTAATCGTAAGGTGCCAACTGACATGACTTAGGTGAGGTTTGCTGTATATATGAGTGTAAATTGTGTTGGAGATTGTGTATCATTCCATCCGTTGGGTTGCATTCCTTCGCATGTCGCAGACAAGTGTTGTTGCAGTCGATCGCTCTGTATGTGTCTGTACAAGACACCCATACGCCTGACACAGTGGTTAGACTTGCAAAATCTGAAGCCCTTTCATTCCTTAATCTCCAAATCAGTCTGCGCTGCCTATAACTGCGGGACAATTCAGCTTTCCGGTCCCCGCCTATAAATAGGAGTGCGTGCGAGCCAGGGCGAGGGGGGAAAACCACCTGAAAGTCACCCAGATCTTCCTGTAAAACCCACAGGTGCGAGAGGAATGTGATGCTATCAGAGAGAGAAAAAAAATGCCAGGAGCGATCAAGAGAAAAAAATATCATTTGGAGTTTGTAGGATGACGGAAAAACACGAGGTGCATTGATAATCAGGCAGGATAGTGTCTGGGAGCGACAGGGTTGGGCTCTGAACATCGAGAAGGGGAAGACGTGACCGTAGTTGCAGTCAAAGAGTTAGGGCTTAAAGTGGGTTTGAAAGAGGCGAGCGGAGGGATTGAGATATTATTATTTTTTGGGAGGCGGAGGGATTATTACTATTTATTTATTACCACTGTTATTGCTCGGGTCCCGACCCAACTGTCCAGCGCCTGGGGACGTATTTATTACTATTATTATTATTTGGGAGGGAGGGATTGTTAGGGCGAGTGCTCTAACCACTATGTTACAGGGCTTCACAAATTCCAGGGCTTCCAAAGGGCTTCTTATCTGAATCGATCCGGCGATCCGGCGATCTGGCGATCCAGCCCAGGGCAGAGCTGACGATAGGAGCTCACAACACGACAGACAGTATCAAAAAGCGCGAATCGGCTTTCGAGTCCCGAGCGGGTCGCTAAGGGCAAGGGAAACGGCTGTTACTCAGGCAAAAAACAACTTTGGTCTCAAATCTGCGGCATCCCACGGCTGCGTATGTGGGTGTGGAATTCAATGACAACCAGCTCCGCAGAGGGTGTTGTTGTAGGACTCGGGAAGAAGGGAGTGAATGGACCCATTGCTGCGCGTGACACATATTCTCTGTGTTCTGATTCAGACTGTTGTAATAAACAGTCCTAGCAGTAATAAAGACACCCAGGTGCGAGGGCTCCTTTCCCTCCGCTTGTGAAAAAAAACATTTGATCTCCTGTGTTTGATCTTAACACGGGCACAGATGAAACGTGTTGATTTAACCGATGGCGCGTAGCTTATCGTGCACTTTGTTTAGCATTTGTGTACTGCCGAATGTCTTATAATAATAATAATAATAATAATCCTTGCACTTGATATGGCGCCTTATCAGGCCGTCGAGACGTCTCAAAGAGCTTCACAGGACACGCTGCAAAGCGGGGAGTGACTGTGCGTTTTTAAGTGAAATGGGATCGGAGGGGATACCTGGGCGGTGGAGCCACACGGAGCCACTCTCTTCGCAATCTGAGCCATGACGGAAGGGTTGCTGGAGCTGACCAGCACCGGAGCGCTGATCTGCAGGGGCTTGTGGTCGGGAGACGGGAGCGCGATTCGACTGAACACGTTCAAGCCGCCCGTACGACGCGGGTCCTCTTTATCGGCCTTCCGTGACCCTTCCGTGCGCTTGGGGGAGCCTTTCGGGTCAGAGGTTTTGGTTTCCATCAGCTGCTTTGCCGCTGCGTTCATCTGCGAGAGAAAGACGGAAGAGTTTCGCGCACAAGTCCACGGAGACCGGTTCCTACGCGCATTGAGATTCTAACAAGCAAACAGATAAATAGATCAATAGATCAGTAAATAAGTAAATAAACACAATAATAAAGTAAAATGTGGGTTAGGTTATAGGAATGCAACACTGAGCACTCGAGAGGATTTCCTGCGTGAAAGACGCTGTGTATCAAATTACTCAAATTAGTATTAATGGGTGGGTGGGGGGTGGGGGAGTTGGCTTCAAAACAACGTAGGGAAGACTAGGACATTCTCAAGTGATCTGTCTGGACCCTGTGTAGGACGGGGCAAACTGGCTTCTGATCAGCGAGATCAGGAGTTCATTGCATGTCGGTGTAACTCACACCATTGCAATGCAGCCTAAATGTCCCTGTTGCCTCTGACCCCTGTAGAAATGGAATCAACGGAGATGTTCAAACAAAAGATCGTCAGGCGCTTGGGCTAGAAGATACATTGAAGGAATACCTCTATTTCTCTTCTTCTCCTATGTTCCTAACGATAGGTATTTGTCAGTTCAGGGTATCAAGGGATACGGAGAAAAGGTGGGTAAGAAGACTTCAGGTACAGGATCAGTCGTGATCCAGTGGAATGGTGGAACAGGTTCGAGGGGTTGGATGGCCGATTCCTGTTCTGACTCCGAGGTGAGAGTGCTACCAACTGAGCCAGGCTGACAGACATAAGCAGATCTTCCTGTCTCACCTACCTCAACAAATGAGATGGGGAAGATTCCAACTTTGTCTCCTCGCTTACCCTCCACCCAGTTTTCATCCACTCTCCTGATTACTTTAAGAACATCATTCTGCAAGACAGTTATAAAATGACACAGTAAGTTTTGCCTTTTGTGGGTGGGTTGGCTCAGTGGTAGAACTCTTGCCTCCGAGTCAGAAGCCTGTGGGTTCAAGCCAAACTTTGAAGCCAATATAGTCTAAGCCGACACACCAACGCAGTACTTGGGAGGAGCACTACGTCGTTGAAGGCGCCGTCCTTCGGATGATAGGTTAAACCCAGCTCCTGTCTGACTACTCCTTTGGGCTTCAAAGATCCCATGGCACTATTGGAGAAGAGACGAGAGTTTCCTTCTGGTGTCCCGGCCAACAATCCCCCAAATAAAACCGGTCACTCACTCCATGGCTGTTTGTGGGGCACTGCTGAAAGCTTGTGAGGAGCAACGGAACTGCAGAACCATTTTGTCCATCGACCCTGGACTCCCCCCCCCCCCCCCCCCCACCCCGATTTATTGGATCAAAGCAGATATTTTAAACCCGTTTCCCCACCGTTTCTCTATAAATCTTTAGACCCACACACACAAAAAAAACAGCGCTCATTTGATTACAACAACAGCAGCAACTTGCATTTACGCAGCGCCCGTCACACGGGGCAGTGTCTCGGAGCGCTTAACCAGGATTTTATTGTTACTGTGAAGTGTAGTGACTGTGCATTGTGTAGATGAACATCCCGGGGGTTTGGGTGGGAAGAGAGCGTCCCAGCACGTTTTACCTTGAGAAACGAGAGACAGCCTTTCCTGGCTTCCTGGTCTTTCTCCTTCAGATCAAAGTCGTACAGCGCTTTGCAAAGAGGCACGGGCTGAGGTAGCGGGTGGACGACTTGCACAAAGTTAAGAGGAAAGATGCCACAAGTCCCGTTGATTTCGCCGTAGTACCAGTTGTCATCCACTTGCCGGTGGAGAGTGATGACGTCGCCTTTTGTGAAGCTCAGGTCTCCCGGCTTCTGACCACCGTATGGGTACAGGGCTCTGGCACACGGCACCTGAGCAACGCATGAAGGCATCAACGTGAGCGGTGCTGAAAGGAACGTGATCTTGGGAGTGCGCACGCACGCGCGCGTGAGTGTGTGTGTGTGCGTGTGGCGGGGGCTTTCTATCTTACAGCACAGAAGGAGGCCAGTTGGCCCATCGCGCCTGCCACTGTGCCGGCTTTTTGGAAGAGCTCCCCGACCGGTCCCACTCCCTATTGACCCCCTGCGATTTTTTTTTTTTTCCTTTTCGAGTGCCTATTCCCTCTGCGTGAAACAATTTCCCCTCTTGCTGCCATCTCTTCAGTCAGAGCAGTATTTCCCCATTGTAACACGTTAGCGAAAAGGTCACCAGAAGGGCTCGTAAAAATGACGTTGAAATAACCAGTCAGGAGACGACACGTGATTTAAAGAGGGCTGTTAACGAAACTCCCCAGTATCACGATCATAAATAGGTCTGCACTCACAAATCTACCCCATGTACCAAAGCCACCAGCTTGTGAGGCCGAAACAGTGGGGTTCTTTTGAAGATACATAATGTATAAGGATCCCGGCATGTGATACCAGCGATACCGAGGCATTACCAGCGCCTTGGGAACGTCCTCCCGACGTGAAAGGCGCTATAAAGAATGTAATTCTGCAGTTTGCCGAAAGTTCTCAAAGCGCTTACAGCAAAATGTAGGCAGCGGCAATCTCGACAACAGCACCAGCTATAAATTAGGAATAATTATCTGTTTGCGGTGTGTCTGCGGCCACTTCATTGGGACGCAATCAGGTTGTATCAGGGCTGCCTAACTCAGTCGAATCGGCTGCTGTCTCTCGGCAATCGCGAGCAATTGAGGATGGGCCGGGCGGAATAATAATAAAAATGATAACAGTAATCCTTGCATTTGATACATCTTCCAGACGTCTCAAAGCGCTTCACGGGATTACGCTGTAAACGAATCGAACGCATGTTTTGTGGGAGAATGCGTCGAAGAATGGGAAGTGCGTTTCAAACAGAAGCTGTTGACAGAAAGACTTGCGGGCGGTGGGTCTGTGGGTTCGAGACCAGCCGCCATCTCGCCTTCGCCCACCTCTCGTCAAACAGTTTCTTTCTTCAGCGATGCCAAGCGGTTTGTTAAGGACGTGAAAGGCAGGTACTGTTCTCAGCACCGCCCGTGACACATTAATTCAGTTGTGCACCCGCAGCGTGTCAGACAATGAAGTCCTTATTCCCGCTGCTTAAATACCCCCAAACAAACACCCAAACATCTCCTTACATCACAGCATCGCCCGACTTAACCGTGTTGTTGCCATCTGCTCTTCGCCGCCTTTGTTGATAATTACAACAAGAATAATATTACTAATAATGAGACTCAGTCCTGAGGGAAAGGCACTACGAATAATAACAATAATAATGATAATAATAATAATAATCCTTGAGTTTGATACGGCGCCTTATCACGTCGTCGAGACGTCTCTAAAGTCGCGGGCGAACCCCGGCAGCCAATTCCGCAATTGGATCGAGCGACCGAACATCGCCGTTCAAATAAAAAAGAAATCCTTTTTTTTTTCCCCAGGGATGGTCAACCGTCCGGAAAAGCCATCCGTCAAATCGACTGACAGCCAAATTCCGCGGAAGGTCCCCCCCCCCCCCCCCCCCCCCCACCCCGGAGGATTGGAGCAGAGGTTGAGCGGCGCTGGGGTTTGTCGGTGTAGAGAGCACGTTTGGAGAACAGGAGGTACCTATTCCCCCCCTCTCTCTCTCTCTCTCTCTCTCGTTCTCTCTCGTGCATGTCGGGCCGTAAACTGCTGAGGCGGTGGCGGTCGGGTGGGGTGGGCGGGTGGAGGGGGGGGGGTGCGGAGAACGTGGCGGTGGGGGAGGGAGCACTGCTCTGGTGCTTTTCAAAAGCAGCTACGCATTAGTCCGCAGGGACGGCTGAGCGGCCACAGCCTCCCTTTTGCAATCGCAACGGGCTAATCCTGGTTGCTGAGGCAACAGCTCTCCGCCACATCCCAGAGATGGCACCTGTGCAACAGATCGAAATCAAAGCGAAACACAGAGAGAGAGCGAGAGAGAGAGAGAGAGAGAGAGAGAGGGAGGGAGGGATGAATGGATGGAGAGAGAAAGAGAGAGGGAGAGTTCCTGTTAAATCTGCAAATCCACAGCGCTTCAAAGAGGAGAGCGAGACTCTGAGGCTTTTTGCGTTCATTCGCAAAATACCGTCGACTTCGTACAGCGACTGCCCCCCCCCATCCCCCCCACCCCCCCCCACCCCCGTCGCCCTCCCACGCCCCACGTCAGATGGCTCGGAGGCTTCTCCCCCACGTCAGGACTCCCGCTGCGCAGTCAGTAGTAGCCGAAGAGTGACGGTTAACCCTGGCGTCTGATGCAGCGCCTTTCGTGTGTACGTCAGGGGCACAGCCTCAAAGCGCTTCGCGGGGCGTCTGCCGGGAAGCGGAGGGGCGGTGGCGAGTTTTTCGTGGGGCGCAACGTGGCCGCCGGTCTGCGCTGGACGCCAACGGCCGTGGAGCGAGTGACCGAAGTGGAGGGGAGAGAGAGAGAGAGAGAGAGAAAGAAACTCCCTTCTCTTTATTAAGAGCCCCGCGGGATTCTTTAATGTCCACCCGAACAGGTGGACGGGGAGCGACGGAGTGAGGTCTCGTCTGAAGGATGGCGTCTCCGGCAACTCAACACCCCCCACCCCACCCCCCCACCCCCCCACCCCCAGCGCTGTGTTGGAGCCTCAGCTTAGACTGTGTGTGATTCCAAGTCCCGATGTGTGGTCGGGCCGGGGTGGGGTGGGGAGTAGGGGTGGGGTGGTTGGGGTTGGGTCTTGAACCCATAAAACCTTCTGGCTCAGAGGCGAGAGCGCTACCAGCTGCGCCAGGCTGACGCCCGCCGTCCTGTGCCACCGCGCTCGCTCTCCGAGTCACAGCTGAGCGACCGCGACACGTGTAAAACACGGAGATCCGCGGTTACCCCTTCTCCGAGGTCCCCGGCCCTCCGGGCCTGCTCTCGCCTCGGGGACGGCTGGTGGGCGCGGGCACCGTCAGCCCTGGCGTCGCTCTGCCCGTGCTTCATCCCGTGCAGGAGGCGGACCAGCAGCAGGTTGACGGGCAGCTCCTCGATGCCGCAGGCGACCGGAGTCCTGCATTCCGGGCACCGGAGCTCCTTCCGGGAGCTGTGGATCCTCTGGAGACAGGCCTTGCAGAAGGTGTGCTGGCACGGCAGGACCTTGGCGGTGGCCTCCAGCCTCTCGAAGCACACGGGGCACTCGAGAAGATCCAGCCAGGCCAAGTCGTCCATCGGGCTTCTAACCAATCAAACACAGCTCGGGGTCAAGCTCTCCGGGATTATAACATCATTTAATAATAATAATAATAATGATAATAATAATAATAATTCCTGGCATTTGATACAGAGACTCGTCGCGTCTTCGAGACGCCCCAAAGCGCTTCGCGTGTAGTGATTTTGACCGCGGATTTTGTCGCCAAAAGGCGGCAGCCAATTGCGCACGGCAGCGCTCCTCCCCCCCCGCCCCCCTCACCGCCGCCCCCACAAACAGTCGTGGATCGAAGCGAGCAAATTGTTGTTTCGTTTCTTTTAAGATTTATTTTCCCAGTAAAAAGGGAATTGTTACGACGTTATGGCAGTTTTAATCAGAGTCTGTGGAGGCAACTTCTTAAGGGTTTACAGTCAGCGCACCAGCTGTTCATACACAATAAACACGGGTGAAAAATGCAAATATTTCAAAAGCAGATTATCTGATCTGTTCGAAACTATGTCATTTTCTCCAGAATATATTTAACGTGCGGATGGATTACAACACTCTGCGGCTGTTCTGGCCGTGAAAACCATGGACCATTTTTCTTCAGCGCAGGGAAAACAGGAAGGTAAGAATCCCAGCACAGACCCATCCCACTTCCATTTCCGCAGAGAACGTACTTAGGGCACTTGTCAGTGCTTTAGCCTTCACGTTGCATCTTATAATAATAACAATAACGATAATAATAATCCTTGCGTCTGATACAGCGCCTTATCGCGTCTTCGAGACGTCTCAAAGCGCCTCAAACGGAAATGCAACGGACGCGCAGCTAATTTCCTTGTAAAAATAAGTGGAAAAGAACGCTGATGTAGAAAAAATCCGCCTCCTCGTCACACTGCTTGTATAATTCATGGAGAATCTCCGTATCTTCTCCCTCTCTGCAGTCTCCATATTGACTCGCAAACCCTAACACAGAGGCTCGGTCATCGCACAGCGTTCGTGAGCGCGGCTCGCGCGTTATGCGTCCGGGATTTATACCGACCTGTCATATGATGTGCACGGGAGACGTGAAGCCGGGTAGAGAGGAGGCAGGATTGCCCTTCATTCCTCACGGCCGTGTTTCAAAGGGGGAAACCGTGTCAACGCAGCCGGCCAGGGTCGGTCCGGGTTTGATTCAGAGCCTCGACGCCTTCTGTGTGGAAGCTTTGCTGTGAAATCCCTGGGACCCTCTTTCTCTTGGCTCTCGCTGGCACCTCACGGCGGCACAGAACTCCCAACGAGGTTCTGGAGAAAATGGGAATAAGACCGGAGGTTCCCTGTAGGGATTTGGCGTTGCGGTGGGGGAGAGGGGGAGGAGGGGTGAGGAGAGGGGGTTGGGGAGGGGAGGAAGCAGAGGGAGACAGAGAGAGAGAGAAGATTTATCTGGTCCTCATGCTAAGTGACCTCAGTCCAGTTCAGCCACCCAACTGTCAGATGAGAGCTGCCATATCCAGAGCAGATCTGACCCAGTAAATTGAGGACTAGTCCAGTTCCACGCACCGGGTTTAACCGTTTCACAACCGACAAAATCTTCCGCAGGCTGTCAAATAAAGCCCACTGACTGTTCTCCGAAGCTTCCAAACCCCCAGCGCTGCGGAGGGAATACCTGACTCGGGGAGGGAGGGAGGGAGGGAGGGGAGTGGAGTGGGGGTGGGGGGGGGTGGGGGAGGCAGGGTGCCTTGTTCGTTAACACGAGAGATAGATATTGCTGCGGCAACAGCGAGCAAATTTCAAGCAGAAACTATTCCGTTTCTAGCCACACCCAGTGAGGAACGCGTCAATGACATGTCTGCGAGGGTTTCTGACACAAAAATTGGCTTCATCCGATGTGGACAGACAGCGTCCTCTGCTGGAGGCATTCGGCAAACCCCGACTACCGACCTGTCGAGGAAGGCGTTGTCGTCAAGATGAGACTGTCTGCGCTGTCTGCGCCCAGACGAGCGAGATGCTAAATACCCCGCGGCGCTATTCGGGAACGGGAACCTGTTCCCCCGGAAATCAGACGATGCAGTCGTTCGCTTCGCCGCTGTCGGCGCCACGATGCCGACGTCCGGACCGGCCCCTGCGATAGCAACGGAATAATGAATGGTCCTCGCGTTCGATACAGCGCCTCGTCACGTCTTCGAGGCGTCGCACGCAAAGCGCTTCGCTGGATACACCGGCGAAGTGAATTGACTGGGTATTTTGCGGGCGAGGCGCGGCAGCCAATCGCGCACAGCGGCGTCCTCACACGCGCAAACAGTCGTGGATTGAGGATGCCGTGGATTATTATTTTCACCCACAAATAAGTACGCAGTCACTACACTTTACAGATAAGGTGCTCTATCGAATGCAAGGGTTGTTACGGTAAAACGCGCAGAAGTCTGATCCGTATGAATCGTATAATCGCCTTAAGTCATACATCTGCCCGTTCAAGAGTTTATATGTTTATATTCTAAGCAAGTTTGACGCAACTCATACTTTGCATAAGTCATATTAAATGTGTGGCCCCAATTGATAAGACTTACATGAGGTTTATTGGATGGTATTAAAAGACCCACTGTTCACTGGGGAAGATATAGAGTGATAGCACTCCTCGCCTGAAGGGCACTGTATAAAAGCAAGTTGGTGGTGGTGGTGGATGTAGGAACAAACGAGGAAAGGACGATATGAACAGGAAAATCAGTCCTTTGTTCGAAGCCACCCTGGTGGGAGGCTGGAGAGAGGGCGTGTGTTTGGCTAAGTGTCAGTGGGCAAACAGAGGCTACTCATTAGCGGAGTGCGAACAAAAGCTGTCGTTGTGAAGTTGTGTTCATAACAGTGTACCCCAGGTGGCTACACAGAGAGCTCGGTGGGCCGATTAACATGGCAAATCCACTGGCAAACGCCATGAACGCAATTGGCTGCCGGGTTTCGCCCACGAGACATACAGTCACAACACTTTGCAGTATATTCCGTGCAGCGCTTTGAGACGCTCGGAGACGTGATAAGGCGCTATATCAGATGCAAGGATGATTATTATCATTATTATCGTAATTCTGCCCTCTGCTCTCAACACCACTGTCTGGCAAGCTTTCCCGCTGCTTGTCCAGCTAGGACCACCCCTACCCGCCCCGTTAGGGCTCTATCTTGCCGGGTTAACAGGAGCCGAGTGGGATGATTCCTTCTTCCCCACTGATCTGCCCTTCCAGGTCCTGCCGATGAGCCAGACTGGGCTGTGCTATCACCAGTCATACTGCTCGTTGATTCACTGGTCAATGGAGTCTAATAGCTGTGTAATCCACCAAAAAACATGTATAATTGAGAAAACCTCCATTAGACTTCCCCCTCATTAATTTTCCCTGTCTCTCCGTGTATTTATAACCTCTCACCCTTGTAATCATTTTGGTGAATTTCCACTGTAGCCCTCCACTTAGTATTGGTTTTGCTCAATAGTCCGTAGACAGTAACCCTCGGGCGCTACTTTAATCCAATTTATTGTTGTTGTTTTGTGGAATCACATGGTGTAGCGGTTAGCGTGTTCGCCTTGCAAACGAGAGGAGCGGGTTCTAAGTAGCTACAGTCAGATTAAACATATCATTTATAAATCTCTCTCTCTCTATACATATATATTTTTATACTGTGTACATGGTAGTGTCCTGTAGCTCAGTGGTTAGAGCACTCGTCGCAAGCGAGAGGACCTGGGTTTGATTCCCGGTCAGGGCGAAACATTGGACAAGTTTCCTTACTCCGCACACCTCTGTTTACCTGGCGGTAAGTAGGAACCCCGGCTTTTAATCGATTGGCGGATCGCTTCCCTCAAAAAAAAATTGTCACTCAACCCACGACTGTTTGTGAGACACTGCCGTGCGCACTTTGGCTGCTGTGCTTTCGCTCACAAAAATACACAGTCATACACTTTACAATATATTCTGTGAAGCGCCTTCAGGCATCTCAACGACGTGATAAGGCGTTGTATCAATTGCAAAGATTATGATTGTTAGTATTATTATTATTGCTCCTCTGTGTTAATTTGCCTTCAAGATAAAAGTCACTACAATGAAGAGTTTCCGTTTGAACACTGAGTATCAGCCGTGGGCTGTCCCCTTGACAGGTGCTTGGAGTGTAATTCCAACCCTGGCCCCGTCTGTTATGTGAACCCTGGCAACAGCTAAACTTAACCTGAGCCCTAATGTTAAATTGAAGAGTAACTAATCCCTGACCAGGTCTGACTTGGTAAGTGTACACACTTCTGACATCCGAGGTCTGACCGGGTGAGTATGCAGGTTCCATCTTTTGGTTTGTGAACCCTGAGGTAGAGTTCAGACAAAGACCAGACCCCAATGTGGTACAACCAACCCAGTTTATTAGTTAGAGAGAAATAGCAATATCTCACGGTTAAAGGGTTTGTGCTTTCGATTGTAGAGGACAGCTTACAAATGAGGAGATGCTGTTTCCACAGGTCGGGGGTGTCAGTGACTGATGGACCACAGATATAAGAGTCATAATAAGATCGAAACCAGAGTTGAGGAGACTTTTTTTCACACAGAGAGTTATGGAACAACCTGCCAAGTGAGGTAGTAAGAAACAGAGGTTTGTTTCAAGAGGAGAGTAGACAGATTTCGGCCCATATGATCTCATTTTACACCAATACACACTCTACACACTCCTCCCAATCACAGCATCGCATTGGCATTGAAGTGAATCCCAGTGTCCCGGCCTCCATCACTCTCCCTGGTAACCTGCTCAATCCTTAATAGTACAGAAACACTTCCTGGTGTCTTTCCTGAAATTGCCTCCTTTGCAACTGTAAACCTGTGGCCCCTTGTTCTACTGCCTCGGTGAACAAAACTCCCTTCTCTTTCGAAGTAGAGTCTTTAACGTCCACCTGAACAGGCAGACGGGGATTTCTGAATAGCACGAAACTCTAAAGTATATAGGATTAATTCTGATTAGCATAACACACACACTCGCACAAGCACTCACTCATCCAATTGCAAGGTGCTTGAGTTCAGGGTCTGTTGCACAGATCCATAATTAATGATTTAGATGTAACAGAACATCTCCAACAATGACTCTTATGTTAATTGCTGCCCAAAGCAGATAGACCTGCGGGGCTATAGATACTTATGCACTTATGTAATTGTTTAATTAGTTGGAGAGAGCTTTGTGTGCACGATCCCATGGCTAAATTATACATTGAGGAGAAGAAGAAGGGGAAAAGAGAGTGAGCCAAGGTAGGGGCAGGACACCTTCTAAGCTCCACTGGGTACGGTCGGACTACCAGTTCTTGGCAGTTCTGTTGGATATTCCCGAAGCGACTTGTTAAGGACCACAAACCGGGCGGATTTCGGAATGGACGAACTCCGGGCTAAATTAAGTCAGAAGTTTGAAGGCAAGCCCAGGAAAGTGCGCTTTCGAATCTCGTCCGCGTACAGCGGCCGTGTGCTAAAGCAGGTCTACGAGGACGGGCTGGAGTCAGAGGAGCCTGAGGAACAGTATCCTGGGGGCACAGTTAAAGCCCGGCTGTGCCAGGGTATCGAGCCGGGCAGAGCAGGAGCCCATCAGCACTGGGACTCGCCATTCCCTTCACCGACCAGCCTAATCGCACAGAGGATCAACGTGTTCAGAGACGGTGAGAGGTATAGCATGACAGGGCGACAGACTGTATTCAGCAACCTCAGCACGACCCATTCCAAAGTAAGTCACCGTTCACGCTGATGAGGCTTCTTAGTGGAACTTTAAGCCTAATCTGGTCACTCGATCCATGACTATAGCGCCTTATCACGTTGTCGAGACGTCTCAAAGCGCTTCGCAGGATACGCTGTGGAGTGAATTGACTGTATATTTTGTGCCCATCCATCCAGCCTTTCGCCCACAAAATACACAGTCATTTTACATGGTATATTGTGTGAAGCGCTTTGAGACGTACAAACCCAAGGATTATTATGATTATTATTATTATTATTATTATTATTATTATTATTATTCCCCCAAAATTTCAGCAAGTTAAGACTGAGGGACAGTTTTGACGGGGGATACATACCACATCTGCTTTGTCTCCGTATCCCTAGGCGTCAACAATCCTGGACTTCGGAAAAATCATCATCTACACCAGCAACCTGAGGATTGTGAGGTCCTCAGCCAACCAAAAGGAGCTGGTGAGCGACCCTCTCCAGAACCGATCGACCCCCAAAGACAGTGAGAGCCTGGACAGAGATCAAGGCAATGAAGAAAGCGGTGAGAAGCAGCTTGGGGCAACTGACAAACAGGACACAGAGGTACAGTATTTCCCCTCAAAATTCTTCCCAGTCATATTTTTCTAAGACGTTGAAAAAAAAAAACAAATCCACAAGTTAAGTTGTTGGCAGTGAGCGAATGAATTTCCCCCATCGGGATGGCTGTATCCAATGGTCTAACCAGTGTTACTGCCGTTGCTGTCTGGAGTGTTGGGTTTGGGGTTTCAGCCAGGCAGAGTGGTCCAGAGGGGTCAGGGCACTGGGTCTCATTAAAGAAACAGCTTGATGCTGTGATGGGAGGGTGGGGGCGGGTTGGGAAATCCTCTTCCTCTATCCCTCCGACTTGCCCCTTCCTTCCCCGTCTTCAGATCGCGCCTTGAAACATTCCTTTTCGACCGTGCCTGATGGTCATCTCCCCCACCAATCCCCCCACCTCCCCCGCTACCCCCCAGCCCGGCATCGGGCTCCGCTACTGTTAAGCGCTCAGGGAGGCTGCCATTCGTGAGAGGCGCTGTGTGAACCCAAGTTGTTGTTGTTTCGGTGGTGGAGTTCAGATGCGAAAGGGCCTCTTTCCGTCCAAACCTCTCCCCTGTGACTGTGTGAGGTTGGTTTTGATCGTAAAATGTCCCAACAAAACAGCCGTGAATTCAACCATCGATGTTTTACTAAAGAAAAGTGGATCTGACTTGCCCTCGACTGACTGACTGACCGACCGACCGACCGACCGACCGACCGACCGACCGACCGACTCACTGACTGACTGACTGGTATCTGATTTCAGGAAGGCCAGACTGGGTCACTTTGCCCGCAGTGTGCCGGAGCTGGCTGTGCGCCCTGCTCTCTGTGCCACGGAAGCAAACTCTCCATGTTTGCCAACCGCTTCAAGGAATCCTTCAGGGCAATAAGGTGCCCGGGATGCGACGAGAATGGAGAGCAGCCGTGTCAGAACTGCGCACACTGAAGAGACTCGCGCAAGCCTAGGTTTTCGATACGACGCCTGATTACCCCTTCGAGACGTCTCGAAGCGCTTTACGGAACATACTGTAAAGTGAATTGACTGCGTATTTTGTGGGCGAAAGAACACTTTCAAAGGTACTATGGTTTTTTTTCCCCACTAACCCTCGTCTGGGTCACAATTTTCAAAACCCTCGCCGTAGTTGCAAGTTTCGCACCGTGTTCATGTGTTTTTGTGCGTCACTGCATTATTTTGTAGCCGCAGTGGTTGTACTCAATCATCTGGAGCTCTATCGATTCTACTCCTCGGGTATCTAGCATTCAAAGCCGTGGGCGATGCTTCCCTTGGGTTAGGACCTCTGGTAGCTCTGGCACTACGTCTCTGATGTCTGTGACCCTATCGCCCCCATCCTCGCCAGGCACCATTGGTTCCCCATCCCCCAGAGGATAGAGATCAAAATCCTCGTCCTCGCTTTCAAAGCCCTCCATGGCCTTGCTCCTCCCTACCGCCGTGTCCTGCTAACTCCACGCCTTCCTGCCTATCCCCCTCCGCTCGGGCAGGCACTGGCCTGCTCCATGTCCCCCATCCGGCCCACCCCGCCATCAGCGGTCGTCCCCACCCTTTGGAACTTCATCACACAGTCACTCCGCCTGGCTCTCTACCTTGCCTTCTTCAAAGCCCATCTCAAGACCCTTCTCTTTGACCTACCAACAGACATGTAACTTGTTGTTGTTGTTGTCCCCAAACCAATATAGCTTCACTGAACCTGACCTGGATATTGATCTGCTCCCACCCAGCAGTGACACCAATCTGGGGCCAGGGGGCACGCGAGAGCAGCCGGAATGATTGGCTTCCGAACGCAATCTCTCGGTGTGGGCAAATTGCCCACATGTTCCCAGGCAACATAATGAGACATTGTGTAGACAATCCTAACCTGTGCTCCTTCTGTTCCATTGTACTGCTACTTTATTATGCATTATTAAATATTATTCAGCGCACCTGTACATTAAACATTCATTGTGGAGCATAATACGTGGCATTAAAATATTCATCCCCGCACCATTAAATATTTATCAGACAGCAAGACAATATTAAACACCATTAAACATTTATTGTACACTGTAAACTACTGACGGGTTTTTTAATCGGCGTATTATGCGCAGAGTGCCTGCATTCTTGTGCATCGTGGCAGGTTTACTGGCCTGAGTCAATTGCGAGTTACTCACATCACAGGTCTTGTGAAACGTTGTGAAATAGGGAGTCAGGATGTCACTTGCTCCTACCTGAGTTGTTTGATTAATAGAGGATTTCAGTCTGTGCTTCCAGTTCCGTGGTTGATGTTGGATTATTTTTGAAGGGATATATTACCACTGGAAAAGCGATCCCCCAATCGATCCACAACCAGGTCCTACTTATTGCTCGGCAAACAGAGGGGTGTGGAGTAAGGAAACTTGCCCAAGGTTTCATCCTGAACAGGAATTGATCTCAAATCCTCTCGCTTGCGAGGCCAGTGCTCTAACCACTAAGCTACAGAACCACTGGATGCTGTCGTCAAACTATGTAGACCGAGCACAGCTTTAGAGCATCTTAGCCCTCTGTGGACTGTTTAATAATAATAATAATCCTTGCATTTGATATAGCGCTTTTCACGTCGGGAGGACGTCCCAAAGCGCTTCACAGAACACACTGTAAAGTGAATTGACTGTATATTTGTGGGCGAACGCGGCAGCAATTGCGCACAGCAATGTCCCACAAACAGTCGTGGATTGAAAATGACCAATTTATTATTGTTTTTGGTTTTGGAGGGATTATTATTAGGGTCTGTGTGGAGTAAGGAAACTTGCCCAAGGTTTCGCCCTCTGCCTGGGATTGAACTCAGGTCTCTCGCTTGCAAAGCGAGTGCTCTAACCACTGAGCTACAGGACTCCACACTTAATACACTTAGCCGCAGCGCTGCTGGTATATTTTTCCCGCTGTACGAAACACAAGATGTTGTAAATAAAAATCAACGATAACCCTTGCTTTTGACGTAACGCCTTACCATTCCATCAAACGAAAAAAGGTTCATAGGATTTTCAACGGTGCAGTAATAATAAACATTAATGCTTGCATTTGGTACAGTGCCTTTTGCATCAGGAGCTCATCTCAAAGTGCCTCACAGGATACACTGCAAAGTGGAGCAACTGTGGGCTTTGTGGGCGGACGTGGCAGCTAATTTGCACACGTGAACGTGCCCGCAAACAGCCGCGAATCGAATAACCCATTTTATCCGGGAGAAACTCCTTTCTCTTTACAAATAGATGCTCAATTTAAGATGCTCGCGTATAATGTTACAGAATCCTTGATATCGCTCCAGGTAGCTTTTTTTTTGTGTCTGAAACCCTTCGCAACGCTTAAGAGCATCCACCCCAGACCGAAAGCGACATATGCTTGCCACCTACACATGGATTGTATTAACTAGTCTGTTGGACTATGCCCCCCCCCCCCCCCCCCCCCCCCCCGCCCTTTCACAACCTTGGCCTCCTTTTTCCTACTTTTCAGTCTCGGGCTGAGATAATAAATGTTGGTTTTGTATCGTAGGCCAATGTTTTCGGCTGTGTTCCGGATTTCCTGAGAGCAATAACAAAAGGAGAAATCTACCCGGGTTCTGTGGCTAAAGCTCATTAAATAGAACGTCTCTACAAGAGCAACAACTGCCAGACAATGATGATGATAATAATAATAATAATAATAATAATAATCCTTGCATTTGATATAGCCCCTTATCACGTCTTTGAGACGTCTCAAAGCGACTCACAGAATATGCTGTAAAGTGTGTTGACTGTATATCTTGCGGGCGAAGCAATGGTTGAATCGTTGACAGACAGAGAGAGAGAGAGAGAGAGAGAGAGAGAGAGAAATATCCTTCTCGTTTCGAATAGCGACACGGGATCTTTGACGTCCACCCGAGTAGGCAGGCGCGTCCCTTGGTTCCCCTTTGCGTTCGGTTTCAAGGCGAACAGAACCCACGTTAAAGTCCCACGTTAACACAATTGTAAACGTTGCAGTATTCCCAATAACTGTGGTCGCCACAGGGCGGCAGGTCAGTTGCAGGGTTTTTAGGCTGGGATCTACCCCGGGAATAACGGTGCAGCACACACACACACACACGCGCGCGCGCGCGTACGCAGAGAGAGCAGCAGACACGTACAGCCGTGCGCGCAGATAACGCGGGTTGTTAACCCATTGCCGTCGTGCGTACGTGGAGACACAACCGGGTGCACGCCCGGTACGCACACGGCACATCGACTTTGCCGGCTGCACGGAATCGAGTGGGACGAAGTCTGGATTTATTACTGCCGCCGAAGGTTCTCTCGACACCCGGCTCGCCTCCACAGGCGAAGGAAACGCAGCAATCCAACCCTCCCTTAAACTCGCAGGCCCAGGGTTTTATGCGCGGCGCGTAATTCCGCTGCATTTCACAACGCCCTGTGGCGCGTCTTGTGATAATGATAACGAAATATCACGAGTTTCACCCCTTTTGACAGGCAATAAATTAACTGTGAATCTTGGCTGAATCCGCAGTCTATTTGCACACGCAACCGGGCACGTACTTCTGTGTGCGTGCGCACATACACACGCGCGCACACAAACGCACGCATGCACACGCACATCAGGACACAAACTCGCACGGTCTAAGCCGACACTCCGAGGGGGGTGTCCTCCGGGTGAGACGTTATGAAGACCCTATGGCGCTTATTCGAAAAGGGAAGGGAGTTTCTCTCACGTTACAGTACGCTCTGCGAAGCCCTTTGGGAACGTCTCGAAGACGGGACGAGGCGCTACATCAAATGCGAGGATTATTATTATTCACATCGAGACGCACCCGTCGGGTTTAAGCAAACTTCCCGACAGCGCAAACCGGGCGACGTCAAAGTCTGCGGGTGAAACGAAGACAAAAGGGCCTTGGAAAGATTTATCACGGTGGGAACACACGGCAAATGATGCAGAGTTTGCAGGCAAGCGCCTGAAGGAAAGGTCAGAGGAGATTGATTATAACAGTCAAAGCGCTCTCAGCTCAGCGAGGGGGCAGCAGAGGGCTGCTGTTACAGTCGCGGCAATACAGTAATAAGATCACTGTCAGGAGTTTTTCGGTGCGGATTGATTAACTGCTCCGAGTGAGAGACGGCCGAGTTTGCACCAAATAACACATCATTCCCTGTTGTCAATTAAGACCCGAGTTTTACCCACTTGCTCAACAAATGGCTTGCTTAACGTTATCCGCAGTTAAAACATTGACTGCCTCGTGCCCAGGAGGATTGAATAACATTTGGAGATGGCAAGGTTTGAGACTTCACAGAGCATCACGTATTTTCAAACTAAAGTTGATGGTTTCTTGAGCGATCTCCGAGAGGCCAGAGACGAGGCATTGGTTTACTCGCGCGCAGTTGCTCCCGAAATCTAGTCACGTTTCAGCCTCGTTCCTTAGGTTCCAGCAAAATAACCCAGTAACGTTCCGCTCGAGGGAACGTTAGCCAAAGTTCACGTCGATAGCCGCTGGAGTCAGCCAGAGGAGCTTGAGCCGTAGCGTCGAAAATGTCCAGGTGCTTATCCTGAACATTTATCCGGTTCCACTTTAATGCCAAGGGATTGTTAACGTCCACCTGAACAGCCACAGACGGGGGCCTCGGTTTAATGTTTCATATAAACATTGTGGAGTCCTGTAGCTCGGTGGTTAGAGCGCTCGCCTCGCAAGCGAGAGGCTTGGGTTTGATTCCCGGGCAGGGCGAAACACTGGGCAAGTTTCCTTACTCCACACTCCTTTATTTACCTCGCAGTAAGCAGAAATCCAGTTGCTAGTCGATTGGCGGACCGCTTTACCGTGGCTAATAATTCCTTAACAGAATAATAATAATAAAACATTGATCACTCAATTCGCGACTGTTTGTGTGGACGCTGCTGTGCGCAAATGGCTGCCGCGTTTCGTCCACAAAATATGCAGTCGATTCATTGTACAGCGTATTCTGCGAAGCGCTTTGAGACGTCTGAGCTCAAAGTCCCCGCGTGGGGCT